TGTGTGTGTGTGTGTGTGTGTGTGTGTGTGTGTGTGTGTGTGTGTGTGTGTTTGTGTGTGTGTATGTGTGTGCGAGAATTCATGTGATGAGTGTGTTAGAGGAAAAAAAATTCTGCTTTTACATGCTCGTAATGTTCTGGATGAATGTGAGAGTGAGAGCCTCAAGTTCTGCAACCAGTAAAAGGGTTTCCGTATTCTGTTGACATAGTACAACTTTGGATGAGAAAAATGATTTCTTTTTGCAAAATTGAAAGCGAAATAAGTTTTTCTTATTATAGCTATGCTTGAAGGCAAGAGACATAAGTAAACAGAAATTTGTATCGGATTGTCAACTTTGTTTTTCTTCTTGGTTGGAAAATTTCATTTACAGTTGTTGGTAAGTAGGATAAAACAATATAACCACAAAATGTACATATTTTAAGTCAATCAAAACAGCGTTTCAATGAATTCTGTATTATTGATGGCTTGACTGAGTTTTTGGCTTGAATGAAAACTGGTTCCATGTAGAATAAAATATTCAAAAGGCTTAGAAACAGTTTTGTATTTACAAAGGATTAATAAAGAAAATACAATCAATCTGTTTTATTGCTTTGTCATAACCAAACATAATCTAAATGCAACAAACCTATAGGAATTTTGTTGTTGGGTAGAACTGGCCTGTTTCCAAACAAATTTTTTTGTGTTCAGAATTTTGATATGAAAATGGTTAAATAGTACTTTGAAGATGTGACAAGAAAGGCCTTTCTACATTATTCAGCTTTACCAGCACATCTCCTTATTCCCACTTTATGCTCAAGATATTTCAGGGTCTTTAAAACATCCATTAGGAATTCATTCTCCTCTCATTTCAAACCTTGACACCCAGAGCACATTGAAGAAAGTTTAGTGAAATCTCCTTTTGATACATTTAATTAAAGGATGCCAGGTGTTTCGTCATTAAAGAACAGAAGCCACCATTTTGGCAATCAATTTTCATTGAATCTTAAATATTTAACATGTTTTTTTTTCCACATCACCATTTAATATGAAGGCCTATGGTACATCTCAGGCTATTGTGGAGTAAGATCTTTTGTTTGTGCACAGAATGTGACATGGGGCCTAACATATGAACTTCTGTTCTAAAGTTTGTGAACTAAAGCAGAAGTCAGTGTGATATAGCGTGCCCTGGCCAGTACAGTCACCTCGAATGCTTTATCAAATGGAGATGTAACGAAACTTTCAGCAATGTGCACTGGTTCTAAGTATAATACTCGTGAAACCAAGTGATGATGTGTATGATGCAAACATCTAATCCTAAACTTCTATATCTACTGAACACAAATTCAAGTTTAAACACAATATAAGAGCACTTCAAAGGTTTCAAACATCAACAGCAAACAGCAACTGGGGGGGGGGGGGGGGGGGGGGGAGACTGATGAAACAATGTATAACATTGTGGTTCGTATTACAATTTTCTACGTTAGTTGGCCAATAGTGCCATCATTCTCGTTTTCATTTTTGTTTGAACAGCCAAATTTATTCCCCATATAACTTGGCCTGTAAAAGTAAAGTTTCTGTTTAGCTGTATTATATCGAGGCAGACTTTTATTTTGTACTTCTTTCAGCGTTTTGTTTGCACTGACAATGCTGAAATTCATGAGGTCACTTACAAATATTAGCTTTTTATTTAGTAAAGAAGGGTTAAATCCGTGAATGTTATATTCATGAGGTTGAGGGTTTACCTCTTGGCGCCAATTTACCCTCTTCACTTTAGTTGACTGACCAGCATCTTTTGCATAGCTTTCACAAGTGGTGTGTTCTTAAACGTGAGCCAACAGTAGTGGCATTACAAGACACACATCTAATGACCTTTGAACTGCAGTCTTCCATCTAAATCAGTGAGAGATATTATGTAACACTACAGTTTTAAAGTCTTCATTATGGAGCCAAGCAAACTCTGGGAATTCCCGTCTGATGTTCAACATCAGAGGCGGGAATTCCCGTAAGATGATCACTGATGTGTGTAAGTCTATGTCTCCTAATGGGCGACACGACGTCGCGTCGCGCTCGGCAGTTGCTGGCGACGAGTCGCTCGCTAGGTGTGTATCCTTGTGCGCGACCACATCACACACCACACACGTGGCTTGTCGACCGGCACACATTGGCTAGATATTTTGACCAATGGTGAAACACCCCAATCTGCAGTGTACGACGAGGTTTCGATCGCTACATGGACCGATCGGGCGACGGTCGCGCGCGGCTAGACGTCGCACCGCATCGCGTGTAAGGAGACTGGTCGTTTATAATCTTCCTTGATTGATTTTGGAGAAGTAAGGACCACACAGGACGCGGCGTCGCGTCGCACATAAGGAGACATGTACTTTAAGAGGAACACATTCGTTTACACACTACACAGCCGTCTCGTTGAATTTCCACAAGCCCTGGGCCGGACGCACCACGTCCCCGTGCACAGACGGCACCTGCTGGGCAGCACGATCAGCTGATTTGGAGCGCCATTTTCCCCGTAACACTGGCTGACTGAGTCCCTCTCGTCTGCTGGAGTCCCGAGATCTATCGTCAGGAAGCTGTAAGGGTGGCAAAATAAAAAAAGGGGGGGGGGGTGGAAGAAAGGAACATGAGTGCAATCATATTTTTTCGGAACATTCTGTGCATATTACGAGATAAAAGAAGGAGGAAAGATAAGGACGATGGAAGTCTGATCGGAAAGAAGGAGCGAACCACCACACTTTTTTATTAAAAAAAAACCCCAACCAAACAAAACAAAACAAACAAACCAAAAAAAACAAAAAAACCCCACAAAGAAAGATATCGCTGTATTCGGGAAGAAACAAAATCTGTGACCCGACGAAATCTTGGCTAGTATGGCTTTCAGTAATAATAATATAGAAGAAGTAAAGACAAAAAAAAAAGACATTGCTGTATTTTTTGGGAAAACCCACCTGGGAGCTACTCAGTGGCGACCAGGTGTGTTTACATCTACCTTAACACTATTGATGTTTATAATTACATTGATAATATAATGCGTGTGACTGTGAACCCGTTTGTGAGTGCAAGCGTACTATTGTATTAATATTATGGTTATGTGAAAAGATGTGTGGGGAAGAGAGGATGTGTGAGGGAAGAGTGTTGTGGGTGTGCACATGTGCGTGTATATGCGCATCTTATCTATCTTTTTTAAAATCTTATCTTATCTTATCTTATCTTTTCTTTTCTTATCTTATCTATGAGACGCCAAAGTAATCAGTCTTCCCTGGTAACTCTAATCTAACTTACCTCTGCCAGCAGTTCCCGCTCCTCCTCGTCATGCTCCAACTGTTCGATGTCTACGTGAGGCACAGGGACCGGAAGTGACGTGGAGCCCCGAGCCCCAAAGTTGGCACAAGCCTCTGGCACGTCCGTCTGGATGAACAACGGCGACGGTGCGCGTGCTGCGTGTTGTTTCACTTCTGCTGCCTCGGAACTCTTCTTCTTGAACACAGGTTTCAGTTTTCCTTTCACAGCGGCAAAAATCTCTGACGGTGTGAAACCCGATGGTGCGCTGGGTGACATGGCGGACACCCCTACTTTAGCAATGGTCGAGCCCACTGTGGAGTCCAAACTGCTCGATTTTTTGAAAAACTTACGTTTATCTTTGGCACTTTGTGGCTTGGCACTGCTGGTGGAGGTGGGGAGAGTGACAGAGGGGGCAGAGTCAGAAGTGTCAGTAGGCGTGGCCGAAGAAGTGGATTGGACAGACGACACGTCCAAACTTCTTCGCTGTTGAGCAGCTACGTCATGGTGCATTTTCTCGTCCCACGACGTGGACATTTTTAGCCCTGTGGGAAGTCCTGGTAGAGGTTCTAGCTTGGACGCCACAAGATCATAGTCTTCCTCGGCTTCACGTCTGACCTCTACGGGGTCAGGGAGAGAAATCTGTCGCGTGCAGAGAGAAGGGGAAACACTTCTCCTCTCCGGCCAAGACTGGTATCCGGATGGATACGTGTTTGGCGGGAACAGATTGGGCTCTTCAAAGAACTTTCTTCTCGCCGTTCGGGGGGAGAATTTGTCTCTGGGTCTCGGAGATCTTTTGGGAGAAGTGACAGGAAGTGTGTTCCCGGGGCCAACAGCGAGGACGCTGCTGGACGACGTTGAGAATGACGTCATCAGATCTGCGGCTGTCCTCAGCTGGGTGGGCGTGGTGTTCGCGGAAGCGCTGGTGATGATGGGAAGGTGGCCGCCCCCTGAAGGGCTGCACTGCGGCTCCGACTGGTCCAGGATAGACGAGCTGTCCACGGAGAGACTTTTCATGAAGGTTACAGGACGTTTGGGCTTTGTGCGATCGCGACCTGTCGACAGCGCAGACACTAGGGACTTCTGGAATGTCTGCTGCTGCTGTTGTTGCTGTTGCTGTTGATGTTGTGGTTGTGGCCTGGGTTGAAACGTACGGTGATGAGGAATGACAAAGCTGGGTGGTGGTTCGGGAAGTCCCGATCTTCGGTGTGCAGCAGTCCCGTGGGCAGAGCTAGGAGTCAGGTCAGGGGTTTCTGGGGTCGTTGCTCGTGACGTGCTGGCGCTCCGGGTGCCCGAGGTGTAGGAGGGAGGGCGGTCATAACGGCGCGAGGTGGAGGGGTCAAAGGTCCGGAGGATGACGGGGGCTGGCTGTGTGGCCGATTGTGTGGCCGATTGTGTAGCTGATTGTGTGGCTGGTAGTGCCGCCGTACCCTGTGTTGTCGTTGTCGTAAAAGTTTGTGTTTCTGGCTGTGTGTGTTTGTGAGCGCTTTGTACTGGTGTTCTCTGGGCCTGTGAGCCAGAGGCTCGGCTCTGCTGCTGTTGTTTAGACTTTGTGGCTGCTGTTTGTGATTGTGATTTACTGCCAGCCTTCGAGGGGGCCGCAGCCTCTTGTACTGTCTTTTGCTGCTTTTGTATGGCTTTGCCTTGAGGCTGAGATTTCTGAGCTGAGGTTTTGGGTTTTGATTGAGTCTGGGTTAGAGGTTTTGTAGACTGGGTTTGGGTTTTCAAACTTGGCGCCGGTTGAGCTGTAGGAGGAATGGACACAGGTTGTGTAGGTGAGGGTAAAGAAGAAAGCAACGGCTGGGAACTGGAGGTGGGGGGTTCAGCAGCCATATTTGTCGAAATCTGCCCGGGCTTTCCGTCAGAAATGGGTATTTCCGGAGAATTGGGAGTCTCTGACGGCATAAGCGAGGGGGCAGCGTAGGCGTGGACGTCCCGGGAGGCGTGGTACTGGCGGGCTTCCTCCGACTTGATTTGCCGGGAAACCACGTTCGACTGCTCCTCGACCCGGGACGTGGTGGTGGCGCCGCGCGTCGTGACGTCAGCCACCAGGAAGACGCCATTTCCACCTTGCGACTGGTACTGCTCTGAGAGCTCGTCCTTCACGAGTTGAACCTCAGAGGCCGAGATGCTTTGGAGGGAAAATGTCAAAAACATATTATGTTTTATCGTGGTGAAATCAAGCTCTTGTCAAAAAATGACATTTAAGAAATCAGCATTTCCGCGTCCCTTTTGGCAATTTTTATTGAATTTTTATTTTTTGGCTAAACACCTTTTATGTCCTTTTAAAAACAAACTTTAAGATTATACCAATAACCCAATAGCCCTAAAAATTGACAAGCGCCTGATTCCACCATGTCGCGACACATGTTAGAATTTGCAAGAGAGCAGCAGCAAGCTGGGTACATGCACAGGTGAAACTGAAGGTTTTAAAGCTCAAAATGAAGTAAATTCTTTTTATTTCCCGCATGTGTGATCCGAATATTCCGTGTATCAAAGGAATATCAGCAAGACCGTCGAAGTCCACGTCCTGGTTCTTGATACTATGAAATTCTGAATCTATTCCCGTTTGGGGAACAATTACTTTCATCAAGTATCTTTTTGTATCTGTTCCAGGACGTTGTATCCTGCTGTCTCTCTCACTCTCTCTCTCTCTCTCTCTC